CCGGCTCAAGGTTGACTCAGCCTTCCACCCTTCCGAGGTGGGTGAAATGAGGACCCAGACTGTGGGGGCGATATGCTGACTCTGTAAACCGCTTACAGAGGGCTGAAAACCCTATGAAGCGGTATATAAGTCTAATTGCTATTGCTATTGCTCTTGCTCTCCAAGCAGCGCACAGGCAAACTTGAGAGTCCTAGCAGATGATCACTTGAATATGCGTCAGCCGTGTGCAGCAGCTGCCAAAAAAGCTAGTACAATCCTGGGTTGAATAAACACAGGCATAGAATCAAGATCACATGAAGTATTAATACTGCTTTACAAAACCCTAGTAAGATCACACCTGGAATATCGCAACCAATTTTGATCACCATACTACAAAAAAAATGTTGAGACTTTGGAAAATGTTCAGAGAAGAGAAACTACCGTAAGATGATCAAAAGCCTGGAGACTAAAATATATGAAGAGCGGCTGCAGATTTTGGGTCTGGCTAGTCTAAAGAAAAACAGAATTAGGGGTGACATGATAGCAGTATTTCTGTATTTGAGGGTTTGCCATGAAGAGGAGGAGGTTAAATTATTCTGCAAAGCACCAGAGGGCAGGACATGAAACAATGGTTGGAAACTAATAAAGAGAATCAACCTGGAATTAAGGAAAAACTTCCTAACAATGGCAATTAACCAGTGGAACAACTTGCCTACATAAATCATGGATGCTCCATCACTGGAGGTTTTTAAGAAGAGTCTAGACGAGGGCTTTTGAACTCCCAGCCCGCAGACCAGATGCATCATGTCCTGGCCACATCCGGTTTAGCGAAGGGGGGAAAAGTCCAGATACGCCACGTGACATTGCTGTGACGACGTGAGTTTGACACTCCTGGTCTAGACAATTACTTATCCGAAATGGTATAAGTACTCCTGCTTGAACAGGGGGCTGGACTAGAAGACCTCCAAGGTCCCCTCCAGTTCTGTTCTGTTCTATTCCACTCCCCACCCCATTCTAATATACAGGACCAGAAATATGACATGACACAAAGCAATACATTGCCCTTCCTACCTAGCCCCCACCCCAACCCCAGCCTGACATGTAATGGAAAGGTCAGCCCACCCCACCCATTTTCAACACTTTAGAAGAGGAAATACAATTCCATTCCTTCTTTGAATAAACTGAAAATGCTAGGAAATATTACTGGAATATTTTGGTCATTGGCAAAATTGAGCAAAACCCAAAAGAATTCCAAAGCCCTGATTCCAATAGAATGACTTAATAATGCATGTACATTTTTCATTAAGGTAAGAAAACATTTCCAATATGTTTTCTTCAAATCATATCTTTGAAAGTCTCTATCTTTCTCTAAAATTGTTCTTGTGCTAAATCGTGCCCTCACAGTAATTAGTTTTTTTCTCAAATGCTATTGCTTAAGTTTTAAAAAGTCCCACTTCATAGAAACTATAAAACATACCCATCATACAGAAAATAAAGAAGTTTATCCAACAAGTGCAGTTTACCACTGGCTTCAATGAGATGATCTCCAATGACAAAGGGCTCTGGTTCAACACCTAGAAAGAAAATTAATTATTATGAAACACCTCTATTAAAAATTGTTTCTAAATATGCATTGTAACAGAAAGTACTCCAGCAGTGATTCCAAAGAAACAGAAGGGACGTGGGTATATTGTCCTGATTAATCCCTTTCACATATTAGAATAGGCTTACATATGACCTGAGAGTACCAGCAGAGAGCTGAAAGTACATTTGCTTTGTTCTAGAGCTAACTTGAGGGCAGATTTTGAACTGAATCATAGCATTGTTAAGTACAGCTTTTACTCAAATGTAAATGTTATGCCAAGAAATAAGTAATCAAAAAAGTAATAAAACACAAAATTTCTACAAAATACACAACCTCAAGGTAAAATTAGAAATAATACTGCATCCACTGTAACATTCGTTTCTCTCAGGTTTAGATATTCTAAGCCATTTGTTAAAATACTAGGAAATAGTATGCCCGAGAAAGAAAATCTAGAGAAAGAGAAGAGAGCACAATCAAAGTCACTCAAGGCCACATCATGTATAGTTTATTCCCATGAAGAAAAAAAAACTAGAATTACAAGAAGATGAGGCCACCAAAAAGAACAAGAGATAATTATTTCAAACAATCTGAGCAAATTTAAAACCACAATGCCATTGCTTTGCAGTAAGTTAAGAAGAAAATTAATAACTACTGCTTATCCTTAAAATCTAATGCTGTATATTTGTCTGGACCTTTAAAGATGCATTCAGGATACTTACTTAAATGTTTACTTAAATGGTACTTTAATTTAAAAAAACAGATTTGCAAGAAATATTTAAAATTGCTTATATTAAGCTCAATGTAAGGACCAGTAACAGGAAATCCTTTTTTAATCTGCAGAAGAAACTACATATTGTAATTAACTTTTTCATGGTCTAGAAAAAAAACATCTGATCCTAAACAATTGAAAATGCTTTCTAGAACTACTCAAAATGATCTTAGATTTTGTACCATTCTGGCTATTATTAAACAAAAAAAAGGAAAAGTGTCAATTTCACCCCTTCTAATCACAAAGGAATTTTTTTTCTTCTACAAAATAATATAGGAATTATACTGTATATAGTAGTATTGGCAAGATTACTATACTGAGGGAAGGGTCTTATAGTTAGTTAGATCAGCCCATTTCTTCTTAGTAATTTCTGTGAAAACAACTGGAAATGGAATCTTCAGATTAGTCCTCAATATAGAAATGAAACCCAGTGCCAACAAAGTGATCCTTGAATTTCATTGTCCTAAGAACAAATGCAATCAACATCCTGTTTGGCCCAAATGTAGCCAAGAGGGAAAACCCCTTAGTCCTTTTTTTGGAGGGGGGATGTAAATTGAAAAGTTTGTTCTTGTTTCTGACTTGGAGGGCTGGAGTTAATCCTTTCTTGTTAGGTCGGTCCTCAGTTAAAGAGTTTTTTGTGATAGCAATAGCAGTTAGACTTATATACCCCGTCATAGTGCTTTTACTTAGTGCTTAGTGCTGTAAGAGGTTTATAGAGTCAGCATATTGCCCCCAATAATCTGGGTCATTTTACCCACCTCGGAAGGATGGAAGGCTGAGTCAACCTTGAGCCAGTGAGATTTGAACTGCCAAACTGCACCTAGCAGTCAGCTGAAGTAGCCTGATCCTTAGATAATATAATTATATCCTTATTGATAAGAGCACCAGTTTAAGGTAATGGTTAAGGCATCAGGCTAGAAACTGGGGCACCATGAGTTCTAGTTCCACCTTAAGCATAAAGCCAGCTGGGTGATTTTGGCCCAATCACTCTCTTCCAGTCCTAAGAACGGCAAATCACTTCTGGAAAATCTTTCCAAGAAAACTGCAGGCAGTTAGTAGTGACTTGAAGGCATCCCTCATATAACTCAGCCGAAGAATAATAATAAAAAAGATAGATAATCAGAACAACTGTTAAGATTGAAGTCAGTGCGTCTCTTCCTTCTTCTATTTGAAGAATAATAATAAAAAAGATAGATAATCAGAACAACTGTTAAGATTGAAGTCAGTGCGTCTCTTCCTTCTTCTATTTGACTGAGATATAGGATCTGCTTAGTCTACTAAAAGAATTGTTATGTCTACCTCACTTAAGGTCAAGTTCAAAATTCTTACCAATGAATAGATATGGGTGAGCTACACATTTTCGTAGTTGAATCAACACATTTTGGAGGTTAGCTTTCTTTCCCGACTCATTTTCAAATGCATCTGAAAAAAAAGAGAGACAACTGCTGCTTTGTTGATACATTTAGATATCAAGACTTAATCACATAGCAGGTAAAGAATATTTTAATTAAAATTCAACATTATAGTATTTTCAATATCTATGCTTTAATAGAAACAGCAAAAAAAGGCATTGCTAACAATTGTTAAAGGTCCTTAAAGTTTTAAAATATATTATTTTCTTATGACCAATTACATTAAATGCCAGACAGTACACCGTGATACCAAAATCCT